CAGTGCATGGTCATACTCTGAAAAGAAGCACAAGATGGAGCTTTTTAAGATAACATATTAAAACAATAGCTGTCAGCAACAGTGTTGTGGTGTCTACATTTTACCAGTTTAAGTGCTGATTTAATTTTTAAAAAAACCTAACAACACTAAAACTAAATGCTAAATCCAGTTGACAATGCTCATAACAATGATAATAAGTTAATATAGACATTTTCAGCAACACGGGTCATGCAAATGTGTGTGGGTTTAGCCACACATACTCTATGATAACGTCCATGTATCTGCCCAGTCTTAACAACCACAGCCCAGTGGCAACTATGTGTTAGGCAGGGTTATCACTATATCAGATTCTCGCTACCTGATTAAAATAATAAACTTTATTGACATGCAGTATAAGAAAAAAAACAATAAGGGTTTCTTTCAGGGAGTTTCGGGGTGTTTTTAGCTCTGATCACATTATAACGGTTGGCAGTGGGACAATTTGGAGGCAGTGCACCCTATCCCAAGTCTCTAACTTCAGATTGGGTTGACATCCCAGTCAATGCTGTTTTTTCCTGAAGAGGAAAAAAGCAACATTTTTTCTTTACTACTGGCTGGTTCAGGAAGCCACCCCTATGCACAGATAAAACTTAACTTGGATATAGCGTTCACAGGACAGCCTGAGCTGGGCCCAGTTTAATGACATCCTGTTACAGCTTCTTCCAAAATACATATTAGTACATTACTTCAGCAGCATTTGATGCACTCCATTTTGTCTCCATACCTTCACAGGTATTTAGAATAAAACACAAGATTATACATCCAAATGAGTGTCGCAGTCAGTCTCTAAAACTAAATTAATTTCACTCACATTACCAATCGGGAAACTGACTCTATATTGATTTCTGGTTCAAAGTTCACTTATAGTTCCAGCTTTAACTTTGAGTGTTTGTGCACAACCTACTTTGTTCCCATAAACTGGCACATAGCCGTCTTTTCCTGTCCATTTCCTCAGGTCTGTGGTCTTGGTGGCATGGTTGGTAGCCACATGGAAAGAAGCGTAGACAGCATCGATGCTGCTGTTATTGTTGGAGCTGTACAGGATGAAGAGCGTCATCAGGATGAGGATGGCAGCAAAGATCACCATCTTGTGGCTCTGTTGTCCCTGCAGAGTAAAACACAATGGTGCAATATACAGAAAAACATTTACTAACATGGAAACTAGAGGCACTACTTTTACTTTTTATTGGATTAAGAAAGGACCATGAAAACCACAGTGTGTGAGAATGCAGCAGCAAAATTAAATGTTTAAAAAAAAAAGTGAAACTGCACACAACCACATTATTTTAGATTTTAATACACAAAAAGGCAAGCTCTAACTGGCCCTGATTCTTGCTATGAGTGACTTAGTGTAGGCCTAAATCATACACAGTGTAACAAAAAGATGTTTTAGTGGCCCCATCTGGCATACTTGCATACATGCAGAATGAGACAAAAGCGGACATAAAGTTGTTTCCTGTGTACAAACAAACTGTTAATGGAGAGGCAGCAGCTAATGAGGCTAACCCTCAAAACGCACATGCTCACTGTCTGAGCCACTCACCACCAGCTGACCACTGAGTGTCTGCATGATGCAGCTGACTGACAGCATGAAAATAGCGGCCTGCGACATGCCAAAAAATGGTTGTTTTCCAAAAAGTTGTTTCCAGAAGTTGCCCAAAAAATGGCCGCCAATATTAAAACTGGTGGAAATCACTTGCTGAACATATGTCAAACATCTTGAGGCATGCCTCTCAACTCTTTAGGCACTACCAAAGCAGGTCATCTCTTTGCTTCATGTATAACCCTTTCGTAAATCCTGTTGACTACATCCTTTTTACTAATATAAACAAAAATATTAGATAAGAAAAACACATACAGCCACAAGTGACTGCTTTTTAGTACCAGCTGCTGCAGCATCATCATCATAAAGCTGCTGGCTGACAGGCTGATCGACCGGCTGATCATTGCAGCATTATCATATGCCACATCTCCCAGAGTGACATACCACTGACCACTTATGAGCCCAATCCATGATTCATAGTGTTATATTGTGGGTTTTTTTTTTCTCTTTCTATCCAGGTATGCTTTTACTACACTGTCAATGTGATTGGGATCATTGTCATGTTAATAAAAATGAAGCCACAGTCAATCAAATGCTTTACAAATAGTACTGCTTTGTCGAACACACTCTGATGGTAGTTTTCTGTATTAATAATCAGTTTTTATCAATTTTGTTAAAATCCCAAACTCCACTGGCTGAAAAACAGCGCCAAACCATGACAGAACCACCACTGTGTTTTACAGATGGCTGTAGAAAAGGGGTGGGCAACTCCAGGCCTCAAGGGCCCTGCAGATTTTAGATACCACCCTGTGTCAACACACCTGAATCAAATGATTAGTTTATTACCAGGCCTCTGGAGAACCCCAAGACATGTTGAGGAGGTAATTTAGCCATTTAAATCAGCTGTGTTGGACACATCTAAAACCTGCAGGACACTGGCCCTTGAAGCCTGGAGGTTTCCCACCCCTGCTGCCGCTCATGGTTTCCCGTCAACTGAAGCTCCATATGCATCTCTCAGGGCTTTGTGCCAAAAAGTGGCAGGGACAGAAAGGCTCTTGATGACCAGCAACCTTCTAGCTGTCAGTCGAAAGTCACAACAAGTGCCTGCACTTTTTAACAGTACTAACAACGATACTAAGGGCAAGAGGTATGGTGCCACCACACCTTCTAAAGGTCTTACCTTGCCACCCAGCCTGAGCCCCATGCTTCCTGATCAGTTCCAGCACACGGACTGTAATTGTCTGTCATCATACCTAAACAGGAAAAGGTAGACTAAAACAGACATGCACACAAATTCATCCCACTTATTTAAACGGCGCCACTCGTAGTGATATTATCTAGTTAGCTGTAATTAGTCTAATAGCATGTTTAGACACGTAAGTATTTACAGGCTATGTGCTGGTGGACGGCTGCTAGGTACACCTGATAAATGTTAAAGCCAAATATTACACATTTTGATACAAAAACACCATCTTAAATGCGCAACCGGCCGCTTTCCGCGGGGTTACGCTTTTCTTTACTGGTTATTCTTAAGAGCAGCGTCCGGCTAACGGTGCTAGCATATCAATGAAGTTGACGGGTGATAGTGGGTTAACGGGGGCCCGTAATGGTCTGGGTTTTTTACCTTTTCATGGTTTGTTTAGCCTCCGTTAACGCTCTCCCTCATTTCTCTCGTCCCCCATCTTCCTGCACCACTTTCTGACGTCATTGCCCCCGTCCTCTCTGTGTGCCTGCAGAGCAGTGAGCACAGCTGCGGACTCCGGAGCTCATAAACAACCGTTGCTACGGTAGTTTCCAGGATGTAGCCTGACATCGTCACAGATTTGTCCTTTGTAATCAGGTTTTATTTTATGTCTGTTTCTTTTATTGTTTTCAGTTCATTTTAGTTTCACCAAGTTCCCAGAGTGGTAGTTTCCTGCTATCATTTTAGTTTTTATTGTTTGCAAATGCTCAGTTTTACCTTAATTTTACATAGTTTTAGCCTTTTAAATGCTGCTCCATATTACATAAATTAAGTAACAGATAATATGCATTGCACAAAGTCTACACAAAGCTTTGTGAAGACAGTTGATTAACAGGAAAGTAGAGAACACAACCCAGGTTGCCAGTATTATCTAAAACTAATGTGTTAAACATTTTGAAACTGAAATCAGGTAAGGAAGCATCTAAACTGAGGCACAGCACAGAGCTTTAAATAAAGGCAAACAACAATCTCACATCAACTGAGGGAGTTCTTCAGCCTTAAATAACAGACAATAGTACAGAGATGAGTAACTGCTGACAGCCTCTAGGTGAGTGAGGCCACCTAGACACAGGAGGAATCCCACCTCTGAAACAGACAATCGGAGTCCATCCACTCCCACACTGATTCAGATCAGATTTGTCACTGAAACCTACCTGATGAAGCTTTGCTGCATGTGTTTATTCAGACCTGGGATGTCTGCATAATTGTGAGTCATCTGCCTTTGCAGTGTAATGAGATGTATTGTAATATCTGTCCCAAATTTTCCAAATCTTACCCCTAACAAAAGGCCTTATAATAATAATAATAATTAACAAATTAAACTAATGAAAGCCAAACTAAAAGTAAATTCTTTATAAATAAAAACTAAACTGAAATAACTACTTCTACTCTGGGAACTGATGAAGTAAAATGAATTGAAAACAAAAATCCAAGACAAAATAACAATAACATAAAATAAACTATAAATTGAGATTCATGAGTAAGTGATCTATGTGGAGTGTCAAATTTGTTTAGCGTTTCTTTTTTGGGTTTTTTTTTTTATATGTATCTTCATAACTTTTTCAAATCTGGGGGGAGCATAATGGCATGAAGTGACACAAATTTAGACACGAAATTAGTTGATTTCCAGCCAGACACACCTGCCCTCTGAAAGAAATACTAAATGGCCTTTGCCTTCTGCTAACTATAGTCTTGTGCTGATTATTAAGCTAATTTTGGATCTGTGACAAAGTTCGGCACAAGTGACGTAGTCTCACTTTTCATTTCTTTAGTTTAATTTCAGTTTAACACAGAAGGCTCCTCTTTGAAACATTTTCTGTTCCCCACAATTCCTATGCTATGTTATACTGGAAACTTGAACAACAACAGTATATACTTAGGACATGCAGCCTATGAATAACACATTTGGATTTATGCACTTTATCATCCCTTTAAAAGTAATGTTTTAATTAATCCTGTATTAAAAAATGGAGGTATTTTATACAATTTTAAAATAACAAAAGCTAACAGAAGTGAGCCAATCATCTTTCACATCCGCACACTGACTATCTAATTGGATATTGGTGAAAGCACCGAGGGTAGACAAAGAATGTCCAAAGCACTGAACTGAATTCAGATGCACATATTCAAGTAAACAAGACTCTGAAATCCAAACTCGCACATACAAACAGAAAGTGTTCTTTAGCAGGTTTATTCATAATAACACTTATCTCACAGTGATGAGTGTTTACATTCAAGTTTGTGCCTTCAAAGGTTGTTTTTTTTCTTTTTACCATATACATGGACTTTGGCTGCTAAAACACAAGTAAATTTAAACACTTCATGTCTGAAGTACACATCATAGCAAAACGCTTCCTCACTAGTGCAAATACTGATGCAGTCTCTGTAATAAGCCACCAAATAAGCATTATGCAACTGAAAACGCAGTGCTATGTTTTTAATAGTAACAGGCAGCAAATTATAAATGGTAAAAAAACTTTAAAGATGAAATTCAGTATTAAAACAAGACAGTGAGAGTCTTACTTTGCTCACAATTGTTCATTCAAATGTAACATTTTGTTACACACCCTAAAGGGTTTTTTCAGTTTCCGTGAGTGTGAGCGAGTATGTGGCCACCAAAACAGATGTGAAAACAGCAAACTGCAGAATCACGAGTTCAACGGCACCACAGAAAGACCTGAACACGTTAATGCACATTCAATGAAATGTTGCCACTTCAAGCTTTTTAACACTGTAACTCACCCATATTGTTACAGTTACTGTGTTAGCAAGAAATGCAAGCATAAAGCTTTCAGTAGAGAGCTTACAGCATAACAGTAAGAGGTTTTTACAGAAATAAACACCAACTTCAAGTTGCTCAAATATGCTTATTTGTTGAAAAAGTTCAAATGAAATGCAACACAAAGGCTTGTCTGAAAACAGCTTTCCTTTTGAAATGTCCCGAGGCCATAAATACAGTATTACCTCAACTGTGCTTTAATGCTGAATCGGCATTGTCATCTTTTGATCATGATCATGGACCAAGAGTGTGTAAAACAATAATAGAAGAGCTGAAGGGATTAGTCATTATTTGTTCTAATCAGCTGGATTTTCTGGTGGTTGACTTTCTTATAATAAGTTATCTTTCATACAAAAATGCTAAAATGCCACTATCTTATGTGTGTTTGGATTTCTGTGATGGTAAAGTAAGTGCCAGTTATTTTCTGACAATTTGTTATCGATTCAAAGGCAGCACTAACCTAATTGTGACCCTACATAACTATAGGCTGTATGTAAAAGATGGCCATGATGGCATAGTCATCATGACACCCATTGGTTAGTGAGGTTCTTAATGAGAAATTGAGGGACAGCGTCCACCACAAAGTAAAGCTTAATCTAATTACTGTCTGTTTTGACTCTGAGGAATCTAATTTATAAAATCAACATGTTATATTCAGTAAAACCTGAAACTGAGACCACAAACTCATAACAAGGGATAAAGGGCTGTTTTTGTGTAGACTTCTATTAAACCAGATGGGTCGCCCCCTGCTGGCCATTTGAAATGAAGCACCTTTAAAGAACATTAGCTTTTTTTTTTAGCTAGGTATATCTTTTATATACAGTCTGTGTATATAATTATAATGCACTTTCTGTCTCAAATGAAATGTATATAGTTGCAGCTTTATATTACACAAACCAGATTGAAGCATGAAGTAAAAAGAACTGTGCAGAAAAGAGCAAAAGTCAAGGCACAGTTATAAAGAATCTAATAGCAGCTTTGGTATTGACTGGTTTTAATTTATGGTGTTGTGTTTTAATGTTTTTTTCTTGTAGTCCTACTGATCTCTATAATACCTAGGGGCCATTATCATTTGTTACCAGTAAAGCTTAATCTCATTCTTCAGAGGCTCCAGGAGGGGTGTTTAAACTCTATCCTGTGGCGTGCTGCCCATTTGGCATAGATGGCTTTCTCAGTGATGAAGCGATGGCCTCCGCGTTGGGTGTGCTCATGGACCTTGTACATCTTGCACTCATTGATTCTATTTTGTTCATAATAATGGTAGGGAACAACACTGTGATTGGCTCGGCTGTTGACAGGAGGGAAACAGTGGGTCACTAAAGATACTCAGCATAACTGTATGTACATAGAATATATACACACATAGAAAAAAAAGATGGAGCTTGATTATGGATCATAATCTCACCTGCAGTAGCCGTCATCAATCATTCCATAAACATGGATGCTGTCGCACATTTCTATGGCCAGAATCATGGTGAAGAATCCAGTGCTGAGAAACGCCCCAGTTTTCATTCTGAGTGAGAAACACTGAATATTTGTTCTTCCAAAAAAAGTTTTGCAAATTCGTACAAATTCAAAATTAAATCCTATGACTGGCACCAGTAATAATCTACACATTAGATCATAACTGTTTATACATTGTACAGAAGAGGGAAGTAATTATTTAATTTCCTGTTGAATTTGTAGGTTTGCTCATTTTCCAAAAGAAAGAGAACAGCCTCTATTTTTTATGGTAGTTTCATTTTGATGGAGAGAGACAGAATATCAACCACAAATCCAGAAACACATAACATTAAAGTTAGAAATTGATTTGCATGTTATGGAGTGAACTGTATTTGATCACTAAGCAAAACAAGAATTAGTACTTGGTGGAGAAACCCTTGTTGGCAAACATAGCGGTAAAATGTTTCGTGTAGTTGGTCACCACGTTTGCACAAATCCCAGACTGGATTACTTATTTTTATTTCCTCCACTGTATTTCTTTTTAGAGACCCTCATTTCCTCAAGAGGTTTTGCCATTAGCCAGGCTGTCATTGTAAAGTGTAAAGAACGTCCTCAGTAAACGACTGACCTGATTAAACAATGGGAACACTGAGTAGCTTCACCCCCTTGTGGTAAAAAATGGTATTACAAAGAGCCCAGCCCAAGCTCAGCTTCAATTGATATCTCTTTGACGCTGACATTTTTGGATTTCAGGTTATAGCAGTTATTTCCTCACATTCTAACTGTAATTCATTTAAGAAAAACTTGAACACAAGAATTCACAATAACTTCCTTTAAAGTAAGGTATCAATATTTAACTGAGTTGATATAAGGCTGAAATGGGTAAATTATATTTTCACCTTTAATATTTTGAATTAGAGAACAAAGTTATACAGTGTGTAAATGGCTACACTTTCTATTTGTACAACTTATGAGTTAAACTCCTACCGTACCTGTTTTTTCCCGTTTCGTTCTGAAATACCCCGTCACAGTACTCGATCTTGTCTTTCGTCACAGCATACATTCGGACATTTGGATATTTTTTTGCCATTTTCAGGAGGGCATTGAAGATGTGTCCTTTGCCATCTTGCCTCATGTTCCTTTCAGGACCCCAAAACACGTATGTGGTCTCTGCTGACTGCTGGAAATAATACTGCTCATTTTTTACCAGCAGGGGAACGCTGGTGTGAGACACAACACGAACGGTGGTGCGCCTCCCAACGTCTTTCTCAAACCCCTTAGTGGGCGCATTATTCATCCGGATCACACACCCGATTTTGTCTATCTCCTCTCCGGCGCCAACTCCGAGCATCTGACCTGAGCTGGAGACCAAGACACACTGACTACAGTTGATGTCCAGTATCTGTGGAGAGAAAAGGGGACAGATGAGAAATTTTTAGGTTGTGGTTTGTGCACATAAATCAGTAACTGGATGGTTATAGCTCAGCTGTTATTCCATCGTAATTACAGAATGTGCTTTCATAAGGTTTTGCGTTGGGCTAATTAAAATAGATGAAATCAGAATTTTAGGTCAAGCATGTCTTGCTGGGAACAATCGTACAAACTAGACAGAGCTTTTGATTATATTCTTTACTGGGTTCAACTGTAGACTCTGGATGTGCAACTCAGGACTTTCACAGACTTTTTCCAAAGCCACTCCTGTGTTCTTTTGTGGTACGCTCTAGCTTTTTGTCTTGTTGAAATGCAAATGTGTTCACAGTCTGACACAAATACAGATCTGTAGTAATGGTTTTCACCCTAACACACACACACACACACACACCCTAACACACGCAAATACAATCAACAGAGACCGACCGACTGACAGTTGCATGCCTTTGTTATTTAGGTTAAGGAATGCACTGTATAATTAATATGAGTGGCTATCAGTTCATCACCATGAACTAACGGAACTAGACCCCTGTAAGCTTTTTTTGTGTAACCCTACCCTCCTTGTGTCTCACCTGGTCCATTCTGCCGGGCTTGATCCTCTTGTAGCCTTCGAGTCCCTTCCTGGCCGCAGCAGGTGATGGGCCGTCCCGTATCATCACATGTCCAACCCAAAACAACAGAGGGAGGCTCAGGGTGAGCAGGCAAAGCCAGCGAAGCATCTGCACAGGCGGATGAGATGTAGGAAATGATAGGGTTGTGCAGCTCCGCACACATTATTAGCGATCGGATGGGTTAAATAAGCAAGTGACTCTTACCAGAACGTTCATATCAAGGCCTTCGGCAAACCCCTGCTTCCAATGGCCCGGACGACACTCATTTTTCACGCCGACTCGAGAGAGACATGCCCAGTCAGGCACCATCGATTCATGGTCACAAAGGTTCCATATCAAAAGATTTTTAATTGCCTTTCCAGATCTGTCAAATTCCAGTATCCGTTTCTTTGTGCGGTTACTTTCGTTTTCATCACGTAGCCGACCACATTATTCTAGTCTTATTTGCACCATGTTTACATCAACTACCATCCGAAATCTGCAAGCTGCCCGTTTCTTCCCCAGCTTTGTTGACACAGTACCCTACAAACAATTCCTAGGACCCGCCTTGTAAATTATAACGTAGCCCGTCTGTTATTCCGGGGCCACTATTTCGCAACAAACTATCACCGGAACAAACTTGATTTAAAAAAAATTACTTACCAGAAATAACTGTAACTTTAATAACAATAACTATAATAACTATGAATTTAACTATATAAACAATGATGGTATACGTTTTTATTGTTAGAAGTTAAATTCATATAATGACATTAGACATGCGGAGGGTAATCACTCCTTTATTCTGAAAGAAACATGCCAAAACCGGAAACAGTCTTCTCAATAGTTTTGGTTACTTTAAAGTAGCCGTCCATGCGACGTTCCAGTACCCCTCGTAAATTTACTTTCCCACAATAGAAGGAAAGTAATTTATAAACATTATGTCAGATGGTTAAACTACGCCGTCTCAATACTTTTTCTCGTTATACTATTTTGGTTGCCTGACTCCAATGTTATGGCCTTTAGCATATAATTAAGAATATAATTATTCAATAAACGTAACCCATTTATGTCCCTTTAGCATTGTTTTTAATTGTCAAGTATATACACCGCCTTGAACTTTCTAGCAGTATTTCCCTTCTGTTTGATCAGGATAGAGTGACGATATTTCAAGAAATAATATCTGATTGGATTAGAAAAGTGTTTGCCCCGCCTACTCTTTTATGTGATTGGTCAAGAAATAGGTAACTGTCTTCACACCTCACCCGACTGGCCCGTGTCCGCGTCGGTATTCTTGCGTTAACTACGTAGGGCCTTGGGAAAAAAAAGAATCCACCGTGCGACTTTCACTGACTGTGACACGGGGATGTCCTTCCTTGAAGCCTCGGATGATCACGGTATGTACCTACGCAGGGATTATGTTATTAGTTGCGCCTCTGGGGAAGCTGCACACAAAGCCGCCTTGAAGTGTGTGAGGTGTCAGCTCACAGACTTTGCTCTGAAGCCAGCTTGACCTGGTGATGCTATGATGCAGACTGACAGATAAGGCTAGCCGAATAAGCTAGCTAACGTTAGCATATGCTCATCTAAAAAGATAGTTTCATCTTTGCTAGTGCTAATGTTTGGCTGTCCTTGACTTGAGCTTTAAAGAAAGACATAAACCCTGCTGCTGAATTTATGGGGAAAGCTCTAAAATAATTTGTGTCAGTTGAAATTACTGTCTTCTGCTTCCTGGACTGGCTAACAGCTAGCTTTCGCTTTAACATATTGTCAAAGTTCTTTCAACTAACAGCCTTGTTTTCAGTAACTTAAGTCTGCATGGAACATAGTTGTGCTTTATGTACACTAGTTTGCTTCAGAGACGTAGAAAGTCAACCAGTTTCTCACGTTGAAGCTACAACTACTATCTTTTGTGAGGCTTTGTCTCGTACAGTATGTTGAATGGCGTGCTTGTTGCTTATTTGCATACCAGACACTCCAGACTGGTTAAGTAGTAGCTGGCAGAGTGCCAGTCTGCTCTCCTTCCAGGTCAAACCATAAACCTGTACAAGTTAAGTCTGTGTCTGGAGAGTGGTACAGTGAAAATGGTTACTACTAATAGCTGGTATTATAATGGCCGTGCAGTTAGAAGCACCTACACTTAGGTACAAACCTTGTGCCCTATCTGTTGTAGAACAACAAGACTGCAGTTAGCCACTGGATGAGAGAGTGGTTGATTACGGATGGTTCATCAGCAGGTCCTGAGCTGGCTGATCTCAGACCAGAGGAGAAACTTAATTTTTGCTGTGGCCTGAAGGCATTATAATTCCTGAGATGTCAATGAGACGAGGAGAAGGGATGTCCATCGCTCAGGCTTTGGCCATGACTGTAGCAGAGATACCCGTCTTTCTCTATTCCACATTTGGGCAGGTAAACCTCTTTATACAAATGCACACACAGAGTGTACTATGTTTGGTCGTATCCTCACTGCTTCTTCTGCTTTCAGTCCATATTTTCCCAGCTGAGGCTTACACCGAGCCTGAAGAAGGTGCTGTTTGCCACAGCACTGGGCAGTGTAGCTCTAGCTCTCACTGCTCATCATTTAAAAAGGCGAGGAAGAAAGAGGAAGCAGGGAACACAAGAAAAGGATGGCCAGAAGACAGTGGGAATACCAGAGTCGCTCATGAAGACAGGACGGCCCTCATCATTAAAGAGAGGTGTGAAGACAGAATATTATGTTTCTTTTTGGGGGGAGGGGGACACTGTTTAGTTTCTTTCAGCAGTGGTTGCTGTGAAACATTCAATGAGGAAATGTTTTTCCTTTGGGACAGCCCCATTTACTGGTCGACAGATGATGAGTCCCAGCACTCGAAGCAATGATACGATGAGTGGAATTTCCTCCCTGGCTCCCAGTAAACACTCAAGTTCATCACACAGCCTGGCATCTGTAAGTTTCATACTTTTTTTTTTGTCATGTTTGCTTTATCTTTGACCTATTTATTTATTTCTTTATTTCACCATCTTTGGGTGTATGTGTGTTTGCATGCTCATTTCTGGCTTAGATGCGAGTCCCAAGCTCTCCAAATCAGTCTGCCAATCCATCCACACCTTGGGAGGCAGAGCCTGTGGTGGAAGAGTCAGGGGCGGTAGAGGATGCTAATGCAGAGAATCTCTATTTAATGGGTAAGTATTCACTAAAACTCATGTTTTGTTTTTTTGTTTGTTGTTGTTTTTATTGTCTAATATAAAAACAGCGTAAAGCCACTTTTTTTTTGGTCTTTTTACTATTTCATGCTGACATTAGAGCACAAGTTATCTATAATTACATTGCAACCAATATTAATCCGTATCAATTAGCTGTAGCTCTGTGCCACTGGTACTTGTAGTCCAGTACCATTATTTTTCAACTCAAGAGTAATGTGCTTAAAACTGTTTTTGTACATGCACTGCAGCCTTTAATTTCTCTTTTATTTAACTGGGGAACTTTATGTGAGTAATAAAATCTTTCAATGAATTGGACCGACATACAACAGGTTTTAGTCCATGTAAAATCTGATTGAGCTCATGTGTGAATTGAACTGTTGTGTGCTACATTTAAGACGGGGCAAAACTGCAGACAACGTTGGGATTTGAATCTAATTTTTCGCTTCCTGTTAGGCATGGAGCTGTTTGATGAGGCTCTGCGAAAGTGGGAACAGGCACTGAATATTCGCCATCAACCCGAGTCAACATCCAGCAACAGCAGCCTGGCTCTGCAGGGAGCAACATGTGGAGACGTTACCACGGTAACTATTAAACTGTTATTACCAGTGTGTGGTGGGATTGCTAGTCATTAAATGATGTCAAGCAACATTTTGAAAGATACAATGTCTGAAATTCAAAGTCTGAACCTCATCATATTTTGCATTGAAGATCACTCAAATCACTCTGTGGGTCTAAGATGGGAGTGACTCCAAACCACCTGAAGCTATCGTTGGCTTCAGTTTATCAACTATCATAAGCTTTGTAGTTTCCCAAACCAGATATGCATTGGAGTCCGCTTGCACAGTGGGACTGTGACTGAACTCTCACTATGAAAAGTAACTCAGTAAATCATCTCTGCTATAGCTGCAGGAGAGCTGTCATCTTCCAGTGAAGGCTGAGGTCAGAATATAAATGGTTACACTGGGGAACATTAAAGCTTAGATTTCCTGTTAATCTTATAAAGCATTTTTATCCATCAAAAGGCAGAAATAATCAAATACTTTACGTGATGTTGTTGCAACACATCAGTGCATTAAACAACTGCTTAATAATTATAGAAAAAAAGAACTGGTCATAAACTGTTGCAAGACTTTTATTTATTAAAAAAAATAAAATAAAATGATTAAATTTAACTATAAAATGTGATGTGGTTCCAAAAAAGCTGATCAATTTCGCTTAGTCTGCCTCCTGGATTAGAGCCCAGTGCCAGTTTAATTTAACTAAATAAACTAATTCTTGGGTTATTTATTATATAATATTAAAGTGGTATCTTTATTATTTTTATTTTACAGGGTGAAGCCCGAAATAAAGTGTTTGCTGAGAAGTTAGAGACTCTACTGCACAGAGCGTATCACCTACAGGAGGATTTTGGGAGCAGTATCCCAGCAGATAATGTGCTGGCAGACTTTGGTAAGAATTTCTGTGTGACCCTATCAGACAATATAATTATTATTAATCAAAGATCATACATTTCGACTGTTGGCTCTTGGCCTCTGTCACTGCTTAGAGTTATACCGGTATGGCTCTGGCAGTTAGCTTGTGTTGTTCCTTTGGCAGAAAGTGAAGGAACGCTAATCTTGCCTCAAGTGGAAAGTTTCCATAGACTGCAAGAGGACGATGCTACTACTGTCACTTCTGATGACTCCTTCTTTTCGGCTGCGGAGGTGAGCTTCTTTCCCCTGCCCTCTAAAGACCGACTGTCAGAAAACACAGTACACTCCAGACCCTTCAAAAGACCTCCCCCTCACTCGTGTATTCATCTGTGTACACACACACACACACACACACACACACACACACACAGGCTGTGCACTGAGGTATTTGTGTTTATGTGCAGCTGTTAGATCCCATGTCTCTAGGGGAGGTCTATCAGCCAGCAGCCCTTTATGAAGAAGCCCTGTCTCTGGTCCATGAAGACAAAGTGGCCTATAGGACCCTGAGGTAACTGTTATGTGAAGCATTTTTATTTGTATTCTTAAAGATGCACTGACAAATACTTTTCTAAAAATATTATATATTACTGTAGATAATGCCATATGAGTCACTGTCTGTTGTATCTGTGGTCCCTCATAGACTTTCAACTAAAACTACTGAGAAACGCAGTTTAATTGTCAAACATCAAAAAGCCTTTAGCAGTTAAACTGGTGGAGACCAAAACTGAGCAAAAAGTGAATTTTTTTAGACTCCAAATTAATGCTGGTGTTACTTTTTGGATGTGAAAATGTACATTTTAACAAAAGGTAATAGTGGTGCTAAAAAACAAAAACAAAACCTCTTATACTCAATACACAGCAGCCAAGAGAAGCATGAGCCTTT